AGCATATAGATGACTTTTTATACATTGCCACTTTAATATATTTGATAAGGTTCACATGAAATAGCATTGATGGTCTACATTAGATAATGTATGCTTTCATTTTATGGCATATCTTCCAATAAATCTTTCACAAAGATTTGGCAAAGTTAATCTAAAGATCATTTGAAAGATGGAGAATCATTTTATGTTAGCATGTTCATAACTCATATGCCAAAACAAACTACTTTTATGCAAAATATCAATACATAGACATTTTTATATCTATTAGGAACAAGTAGCATATCAAGAGCATCATGCTTAGAATTTTATGATTGAATTCTTCATATAAAAGCATATTAATGAGAAAGGAATTAGTTACCCATGTTACTAACTTCATTAGCTTGGTGGTAGTTTCTCAGAGTGATGCATCCTTTCCATTTTGTGATTGAGAAATTCTTGGCATGATATTTCTTTTGTGCTCTAGGCACCAACTTGAGAATCCACTTGTCCTTGCCCTTGAAGTTGTTCCCAAGAGTGATGCTTCCTTCATAATCCTTAAATGATGCCCTTAAGTAACCCTATAAGAAAGGGTTGCATATTCTTCTTTTGGTACCCAAAGTTTCTTGGGTCCATATGAGTTACCAAATCTTCTTTGACCTCAATTTCTTTCTATATAAACAATCATGAATCATATGTCCTAATCTTTTACAATAATTGCATTTAGAGGTTTGGGTACCACTCTTGACAAAATGATCATACAAAGGCCTTTTTATTCTTAACAAACATGCATCTTTAGTGTGAGGATTATATTGTATCTCATTTTTGAAAAAGACATCTCTTTGATTTCTAAGTATAGTACTCAAATTCTCTTTTTCTTTGGTAAGCTTTGCTAACATGTCACTTTGATCATGAATTATCTTCTTTAAAGACTCATTTTCGGGAATAAGATCAATTGATGAAGATTCTTTAGAAAATATACATTTCATTTCATTTTTCAATGACTCATTTTTAATTTGAATCTTTTCTAATTTTTGCACAAGATGATGATTTTCCTTTTTCAAAAAGTCATTTTCCATTTGAACTTTTTCATGTCTTTGAAGGAGATCCTGGTTTTCCTTTTTAAAGGAAGCACATTTCACAAGCATGTTTTCTAACACACCTTGTAATTCTTTAAATGCATCAAGTAATTCATTGTGCTCATCCACTAACTCATTATAGGAAATATTTACATCAAAATCATCATGGTTAGAATTTACCTCATCTTTGTCGGCCATGAGACAAAGATTAACCACCTTTTTTATGCTACTTACTTCTTTGCTAGAAGCTTGGAGGTCTATACTCTTCTTTTGCATTGCTTCATTTTCTTCACTATAGGAATAAGAGTAAGTTCTACTAAGAAAGTTCAAATGATTAGTAATGTTAGTAGAACTAGAATGCATCTCACTACTTGATTCATTTTCATTTATGATGGAAGACACGTCTTTTTCAATAAGCATAGGCATATATGATTCCTTACCACGAATTGATCCTCTATATGCTAATTCAAGTGAGTTCCAAATTTCTTTAGCCGTTTTACAAAAGATAATTTTATTGAACTCATTTTTGCTTAATGCACAATAAAGATAACATGTGGCTAAAGCATTACATTGAACTAATCTATGATCATTTTCATCCCATTTACTTTTTGATTTAGGATTTTTATTCCCTTCAATAACTTTGGTTGGGATATGATCACCAATTTCAATAACTTTCCATAAATCAATATCAATACTTTTTAGAAAGGCTTTCATTCTAATTTTCCAATAGATATAATCATTTCCATCAAAACAAGGAGGTTGATCATTGGATTGTCCTTTTAAGTGTGTGATACTACCATTGTTGTCCATGATCGTACTCTAAGATGATTAAGTCCTTTAAATAGAGTTAGGCTCTGATACCAATTGTTACTCAAGAATTGACTCTAGAGGGGGGGGGGGGGGGGGTGAATAGAGTCAATGGCCAATTTTCGTAATTTATAGAAATACAATTTTTAATTAACAATATAACCTATTGTGCAATAATCAACATATGAAATCAAGATATGAACGTAAACAATTTATAGCACAATTATAAAAGAGATAAGGGAAGAGAAATTGCAAACTATAACACGGCGATTTTTGCGAGGTTCGGAAAACTCCTACTCCTCGGCTCAAGATCCCTCTTGAGACTTCCCAATCCAATATAGCTTCTTCTTACGGGTGGAGAGCAAACCTTGATTAGAAGTAACTCCTTGCTAAGAGAAAACCTCTCTTAGTTTTCCTTTGGGTCACACCAACCCTTACAATATCCTTGCTAAGAGACCACCTCTCTTAGTTTTACATAGGCCACACCAGCCCTTACAATTTCTTTGTTAAGGGAAACTCTTCCTCTTAGTCTTACAATAGATTTGTAGATAGAATTTGTAGTACAAGAAATCCTCTCAAGAACTGATACAAATCAAACCTCACAATAGAGTATATATGAAGTCAAGTGAAGCTCAAACTCTAAGTATGAAATGTATGAGAGATGATGAGGAAAAAATGCAGAACAAAAGCTCTGTATAATGATAGAGCAAAAAGCTCTCTTGGATGCACTTGAATGAATGTTCTTGAATGCTCTCTCAAGTAGTATAATAGAGCAGAAACTCTATGAAGATTAAAACAAGAGCAAAAGGCCTTTTGATCTTTTACTAGAATCTCTCAAAAATAGAATAAGCGTGAAATGAGAGAGAAGAAGATGAGAGAACAAAAGCTCTATTGAAATGTAATATTATGTCTCTCAAAATGGTGGTGTTTTTGCTTCAGCAAAATGAGCCTTCCTTATATAGACAGCCGTAGCTTAATATGTCTGTTAGAAGTAGTTGGAAGACTTAAATGCAGAAAAGTGCCGTTGAAGATTCAAATAATTTAGAAGAGCTGGCTCTACAAAAAATTGGAGGAGGCTCCAATAAATGGGAGGCGGCTCCAATAACTGGGAGGCGGCTCCAATTCACAAAATGCATTCTATGACACACAATTTGGCTACTAGAGTGCAAAGAGGCGGCTCCTATAATTAGGAGGCGGCTCCAATAAAAATGGGAGGTGGCTCCAATTGATAAAATGTGCTTGCTTTAGTTTTCATGGAGGCAACACATTGTTTTGGATTTTGACAGAAAATGGCATGACTTCAAATGGACATAACTCAGTCCATGAAACTCCAAATGAGGTGAAATTTAAGTCTAAATTTATTGCCTTGAAGTCAGCTTTCTAAATCCACTAGCCTTGCTCAAAAATTATAACCACAGAAATGGTTATGGTCGTTTTAGTGCAACCTGGTCAGAATTTTCGCAGACCAGAGATATGCATTTGGTAATGCTCATATCTCATTCAATTCAAATCCTTTTTAGGTGAAATTTGAGTCTAAACTCAAGAGATCGAAGTCAGCTTTCTAATGCACCTAGCCTAACTTAAAAATTCTAACTACAAAAATAGTTATAGCAGTTTTAGCATAGGCTAGTCTGGAAATTTTCTGGGCTGAAAATTGCTTCTTTTGAGATAACCATCTTTCTAGCACCTAGGACTTTGATGAATGGTTCAATTTAGTTCAAGACCTATTTCTAAGAGTCTAGGGACATATAAGGATGATAAATATCAAGTTCATTATGTCCTAGAGTCATTTACTAAATTATGGCAACAAAGGCTTTAAAGATGAAATATTAAGTTAAATGCCTTTTCCTTTTCTTTCTAGACACTAAAATAAATCTTATGATTAATGTGCATGGTCCTAGCATTTCTAGCTCAAGTTGCGAGTTCTTTCAAAGCTTATGTAAGCTTGAACTAACCCTTTCTTAGAAAAGACTTCGTATGACAATATCTATGAATGAAGTGCAAAGTCTATTACTAAGGATATAAGAATATGTGAATGATGATAATATGCATGATCCTATAGAGATGAGCTTCAAATGGATTCATAAATACTTTGACATTGAATCCAAAGCACTCACCATCCTATCTACCCCTTTTCTGCATACATTGTCCATGATCGTTTAGGCTTGAGGTAGTATTGCTTTCTTTCTTCCTTTGAGTTACTTTCTTGCTCATTGAAGTCCAAGCTATCTTTGGACATTGCATTTTGTTCCTTGCAACTTCATGTCTTCATTGTATCCATTTCTTTCCTTGATGTGATCTTGAATAATGGAATACTTTGAATGATCTTTAGTGCTTCATTGAGGTCATTCTTTGAATGTAAATAATCTATATAACACTCAATGTAAACATTAGTCCTTAAACACCATTAATGGTTTGTTATCATCAAAACACCTAGATTGTCATTGGATGAAATCCTTAAGGTCAACAGTTCGCATTTCACATTGAGGACAATGTGCGGTTTAAGTTTTTGGGTAAGATGGCTTTGTTGCATTCTACTTAAAGTTTTGAGCTTTAATTGAATGATTGAGATTTGAGATCCATTTTAGCTATGATTTTGATCTTTTGAGGCCTATGTTCCATTGAATTGAAAATTTTCATGACTTGAGAGTTCAATACTCCTTATATGCCTTTAGATGCCATTTAGGAGCAAATTTTTTAAAACTTTGATTTCATGTTTGCTTTTGTGGTCTACATCTTCTTGTTTGTGAGAATGCTTTGAAGATTGATTCTAGAGTACTACAATTGCACATGCGCACACTAGCATTCATTTATGAGGTACATGTTTAGTTGATTATTGTTATGGTTATATCCCAATTGAGCTAATAGGCTTTGAAAGCTTTTATTCTAGACAAAATGACCTTACATGCTAATAACAAACCCTTTTACTGAGTAGCCGGGATTCTCGCCTCATTAAGCATTGAATTCTTGCGTCGAAAAGTGAAGGGCCCAAACAATTTTCCAAAAAAGAAAAAAAAATGTGAGCACTTCTTACCAAAGGTGGGGAGTCAGGAAATGATAGATGAGTTGATTTGAGCTTGTAAGTCCTTTACAACCTCCCCTCCTTAAAAGGATTTCGGCCCTGAAATCAAATCATACCTGAAATCGCGAACAATCCGGGATATCGAGAGCGAACCTCCTACTCGAGCTCCCAAGTAACCTTCTCGACCCCATGATGTCTTCACAAAACCTTGACCAATGGAATGGTCTTATTTCGTAAGACTTGCTTTTTTGGAGTCAAGAATCTGGACTAGACCCTCCTCGTAGGTCACATTCTCATTAACAATAACATTGGTCCACCTCAGAACATATGATGGATTCAGCTCGTACTTCTTCAGCATAGAAATGTGGAAAATGTCGTGAACTCTATCCAAATGTGGCGGCAATGCCAGCCGATAAGCAACCTCACCAACGCGGTCCAAAACCTTGAACGGTCCAATGAACCTAGGAGACAACTTAGCACTCTGTCTCATAAGCCTTTTACGTGGAGAAATCTTGAGAAAGAGGCGGTCTCCTACCTCAACAGATAAGGATCTCCTCCTTCTGTCATCATAACTTTTCTATTTACTCTGAGCCGTAGCCAATCGCTATCAAACCAACTTGATTTTCTCTGTAGTCTCAATGACAATGTCGGGACCTAAGGCGACTGTATCACCTACCTCGATCCAACAAACTGGAGATCTGTAAGGTCTGCCATACAACATCTTAAAAGGTGCCATGCCAATACTGACCTGGTAACTGTTGTTGTAAGCAAACTCAACCAAAGGCAAGTAGTCTCCCCAACTACCCCTAAAATCCAAAATGCAAGCCCATAGCATATCCTCCAATATCTGAATGGTACGCTTTGACTGACCATCAGTCTGAGGATGGAATGCCATACTGAAATGAAGTCCTGTGTCAAGAGCCTCCTGAAAACCCTAGCAAAAGTGAGACGTGAACTGAGGATCCCTATCTGAAACAATGGATACAGGAACCCCATGAAGCCTGACTATCTGCCTCATATACAATCCACTAAGTCTCTCTGCGTCATCTGCCACTACCATAGGCAAAAAGTGAGCCATCTTAGTCAACCTATCAACTATGACCCAAACGGCGTCATTCCCTGCCTGGGATCTCGGAAGTCTTGTCACGAAATCCATTGTAATGTGCTCTCACTTCCACCCTGCCACTGGTAGTGGTTGCAACAAACCCGCCGGTCTCTAATGCTCTGCTTTCACTTTTTGACAAATAAGGCATTTAGCCACAAACTGAGAAACATCTCGCTTCATACCTTTCCACCAAAACTGGTGTCTCAAATTATGATACATTTTCGTACCACCTAAATGAACGGCAAGTCGGGAATGGTGAAAATCCCTAAGAACAACATCATGGCAAGACAAAGGAATGAATATCATCTCCCTGTACCTGAGACCACTGTCTGAATGCAAGGTCCAACCCTCTACATTCTCACCACTTGAAATTCATGCGTAGATGGACTTCATCTTCCCATCCTCTTGCTGTGCCTCAATAACCCTGCTAACTAGAGCTGGTTGAGTCAGTTTGAAAAAAAAAAAAAAAAACTAGAGCTAGTTGAGCAACAAGGCTAAACAAAATAGTCAGTGAAACACCCTTACATAACCGTAAACCAAGATTTACAAGCTCTTCTAACATCTTCCATCTATGAATGGAAATGCTAGCAAGAGTCCCCCGTGACTTCCTACTCAATGCATTGGCCACAACGTTGGCCTTCCTTGGATGATACTATGTCATGACCCTAAACTGAAACCAATTATATAAAAAAAAATTCACCATGACCTCTACTAAAAAAGATCCTATGCCAACCTGCTTAAGTGTATAAAAATGCAATGGCCTATCTTGGACCTTCAGAATTTATCTAACCTGTCCCAGCACACAATGCAAATAATATAAAACATTCCCAAAATAACAACATCAACAACCTCCTCAAAATAGCCCATCACCATTAACCCATTCATCCAGAATAAAAGAGTACTGCTTTTATACATAGTTCCATTCTCATACACTAGAATTTTACTCCAATTATATCTACTTGCAGTCTATGAATATAATTACAATAACAAGAGTCCATAAGTCTCTGTACAGAATACAATATACTAAGTTTTACAAAAATAGTGAGACTTGGATACAAAAATAGCAAAATGATCTTCTAACCCAAATTAGGCATGTGGTGGAACGTCATCCGCCACTTCTTTCCCATATCCTGAAAAATGTTAAAATAATAGGATGAGCATAAAGCTCAGTAGGTGGTGCCTAAGACACACCTTTTGTGACACCGTGAATCCAAACAATGAATAGAACTAGTAAGCGGGGTCATACTATGCCGGAAATGAATACAACATTAATTCCAATTCCAAATTAACAATGCCATGCCATGATATGTGATGTCATGAATGTCGCTCCCCATTTTCAAAATCCAAATCCATCACTTTCCAAACTGTTAATATAACTCGTCCATTGGGGACTCTGCGGCGACACGAGAGAAGGATTGGCTACTGTCCTTGACCGTTGGTACCTCTGCGGCGTCATTTGGGGCCAGATAGCTCAACCACGCTAGGGTGATCTTCCTAGTTCCCTCTAGGTTATATTAACACCACGGCCCTTTGGTAGCTCCGCGGCGACCGGATTTTCGTAAAAACCATTTTATCAAAATTTCTTCCCAAAAATCCATTTCACTTTTATTTCAAAACACTTTCCCCTCTTTTTTTTTTTCATGCCTAATGCTATAGATGCATGCCATGTATTTTTCCAATAGTATAAAAATAGAGAAAATTTACACTTCACAATTTAGCATGCTTCTTCATAGAAATTTCTAAGAAAATAATAAACACCATGGCATGGAAATTAACATTTATGCATGCTTCTCATATAATACCATCAACACATATAAGCATAAACTTTCTATTACAACAATTATAGCATTTTCAAGGCAAACAATTTAAATAAGGTATGTTTCACAAGAAATTCTAAAAAAAAAAAATTATACATGCTTACATACATCATTTCTAGCAATTAGTAATACAATAGGCATAGGAGATCAACACTTAAGCATGTTTTCATACACATCAATCAATACATAAAATCAAGAACTTTATACACCACAATAAAATAATTCTAGGGTTAATTAACATCAATTGAACATGTTAGCAACAATTAACAAGAAATTGACTCACAAAGGGTTCGTTTACTAACGCTTTTGCTTTCTTACTTTTACTTTCTTTAAAAGTAAAATCATAATTTTACTTTTTTGTGATGACATAAAAAGCAAAATGATGTTTAATAAAACAAATTTTATTTTTACCATTTGGAAAGTAAAAAACAGAAAGTACCTTTAATAATTTTGATTTTCAGTTTACTTTCCTATTATATTTCTATCTCTAAAAATACAGTGGCTGAAATCTTCATTAAGCCCAACCCTCGCGAAGAAGACGACGCTGAACAAGGACGAGATGGATTGAAACGGTGGCGACTACTTCCAATGATATTGTGCTCGGCGACGGCGAGCACCACATATTCGACCACCGCCATATCCAACCCCTCCACCAAAAATTGACTTCGGGGAACCCAGTTCACACCTACAACCTTCGCATCTTCACCCTTCTTCAAAATCAAGATAATTGCTTTTCTCCTTCGCTTTTCAAAATTAAGGTAATTGCTTTTTTCACATGGCCTCTGATTGGATGGCACAAAAACGAACGCATCGCAAGAATTTCATGTGTCATCTCCAATTTTGCCAAACCCTAGTCAATTTCTGGCCTCTTGCTTCTAATCAAGATAATTTCTCAGGCATCGAGACCCACCTGTTCGTCAATACTCTCTACTTCTACATACAGATTGCTCAAATCCAGAAAAGCTATGCTCATGAAGAACCCAAGCCCTATGAAGAGCCACAACTTCTGCCATGAAAACGCCGATGTTTTGACATTGTAATCGTTCATCGTCTACTTCTTTGCCAACTCCGATGATGTTGACTTTCTCGGTGGATTCGTATGCTCTTTCTTCTATCTGCACATATTCCATATTCATGGAGCAATCTCGGTTCCACTTTGGGTGGTGATAGCATCATTGTGGGTCTGTTGATGAGAGAGAGAGAGGGAAATAAAAAATTGAGTGCTACAGTAAAAGGAAGTAATTCCTCACTACAGTATAGAAAATAGAGAAAGTGAAAAATTCTCACTTTCTCTTCCCTTCACAAAATCAGGAAGTACTTCCTGAAAGTAGAAAAGTAAAAATATTTTACTAAATAAGATTTTCACTTTTGATTCCTATTTTAGGAATTGAAAGTAGAAAACAGGAATTAATTCCTGTTACTAAACAGGCCCAAAGGAACAAGAAATTGGGAATTAGAAACCCCTACCTTAATTTAAGCCAAAAAGCCCCAAATGGGTCTCAAAACCGGAATCCTTAGAGTGCACGAAAACTAAAATTGCTTATATGGATATGAAGATCTTGCTATGCTCTTCAAATTGCCGCAAACGGCACTTAAAAATACCAAGAATTGAGGAAGAAATCAAGGTTTATAGCCTTGATAGAAAAAGAAAAAGAAAAGACAAGGAAATGGGGTGAGAGAGAGACCAGCGGAGAGAGAGAGAGAAAGGTGAGAAATGAGGTCTAAATGTCTCATGGTCCAATTTTTAACATGAATGTGGGCCCCACCAAAATTAAATTTATTTTCCTTTTATATCTTTTCTTTTTTTACATCACATAAAAACATAAATACACAAAATATATAAGACCCATATAAAACACATTAAATAAAATAAATATGATGAAAATGGACCCAACCAAAATCCTCGCATGTAACAATTCCGATAACGGGTCCCACACGGGACCGTCCAACCCGAAAAACAGAAAAATGCAAAAATGACTAACCTTACATTTCAATGAGTTTTGAACTCAATGAAATGCCCCAACCAGCTTTTGGACACAACCGACACACTCTACAGTGTCCGGTACATAAAATGGCAAAAGACGAAAATGCCCTTGCTGCGACAAAATTTTTGAAAAAATAAAAAATGGTGAAAATTTGGAAAAAAAAAATGAAAATGGCGAAAATTTGGAAACATCACATACAACTCAAAGTCGTAGTCCTCCATGAACTCCACCTATTTGTGTTGTCTCAAGTTCAAGTCATTCTGCGAGAAAAGGTACTTGAGACT